TCCAAACTGCGTGCAAGAAAGGCTTTGCTGGCGAACCAAGATAAATATTGAGGAAGTAAAAAGAGGGGAAAACGGAGGAAACGACCCCAAACGAAACCGCTCTAATCAGACGTTCCGTACATTGATCTGTGATAAAACTGGTATCGAAGATTAGTTCACGAACATATCATCAAGACGAGTGGACATTCTCTTCCGTCTTTGTCAATCAATGTTTGAGCTCCTGACAGAATCCTGGCATTAACATTCCTGGTGACCTGTCTGTAAACATAGGTGTGTGTGTGTGTGTGTGTGTATGACACAGTGAGTGACACAGAAGACAGAATAACCTGGGGTTATTTCTGTATCAGAGATCAGAATCAAGTCTAGGTTATAAAAATGTTTCGCCCACAAAATACACAGTCGATCCACTTTGCGGTATATTCTGTGAAGCACTTTGAGACATCACGAAGACGTGATGAGACGCTGTATCAAATGCAAGTATTATTATAATAATCACTTCATTGAAACGCCTTAAAGCACTTCACAGGATATATGTTGAGTGGTCAGTTTACTTTGTAGGGATTATAACTCTTAAAAAGCAATCCACCAATTGACTTAACAACCAGTCCTGGGTTGGTGTGTTGTTTCAATTAGTACAGACACTGCCCATTTCCTTCTCATTTCCAGTCATGATCTTTAACACCCACTTGAGGACAGACATAGACTTAAGTTTAAGTTCCAGAAAAGGGAAGAAGACAAGGGCGTCCGTGTGAGGGCAACTTAAGTGTTAACTTATTTAACTCTGACAATATATTTCCACCACTGATTTATCGGTGAAACACTTTGCTACAAGTGGAAAGATTATTGTTTCGCACTCGAGCTTTGCTGTGCGCAATTGGCTGCCGCGTTCGCCCACAAATATACAGTCAGTTCACTTTACAGTGTGTTTGATCTGTGAAGCGCTTTGGGACGTCCTCCCGACGTGAAAAGCGCTATATCAAATGCAAGGATTATTATTATTATTAATAAACTATTGAAAATCACAGAGGTGAATTTTTATAATAAAATAACAATAATCCTTATAATGTGCCTTCCGTGTCTGGAGGACGTCTCGGAACGCCTCACAGGATTCACAGTGAAGTGTAGTGACTGAGTGTTGCGGGGCAGCCAGTTTACACACAACGACGTCCCCTCCCCCCCCCAACCCCCCAAAAAAAGAAGAGTCATGAAGTGAACGACCAATTTTATGATGAAGTGGGAGGATGGGTGGAGACTTCAATGGGCTGCAGCAGATTTCTGCCTATAGCACTCAATCACACGCTGGCTGAGCACAGAGCTGAGAGTTACAGCAATATCTCGGTCGGGCTATCCATTATTCCGTCTATATTTTATCCTGCCCTCCCTGGAGAGAGGGAAGTCTGTGTGTGCATGCGGGCGTGTGGAAGGGATGTGTGAAGGACGAGAGAAAGCATCTCTGTGATGAACATCGCATCTGGTGAGAGAGAGGTGTCCGGGGGAGGGTTGGCTGAAGGAACTATTTGTAGGTTTTTTTTTTAGGTCATTTCTTTATGTTTCAGCCACCAAGCGAGACGGCTTTAAGGATAAACACAGAGCGGGCGGTTTAGCTGCGGCCCTTGTGAGGGAGGACAAGATGCTCCATTCATAATTTTGACGCATCCTTGGTGTGTAATAAGACAGCCGAACCCAGGCTAAGGCCACTCATACCACAGGCAGCAATAGTCATAATTATAATAATAATTAATACTCCTTGCATTTGGTGCAGCGTTTTTCCTGTTGGGATGAACGCCGCAAAGCTTTTACTCACAGGCTTTTAATAATAATAATAATAATAATCCTTGCATTTGATATAGCGCTTTTCACGTCGGAAGGACCTCCAAAAGCGCTTCACAGAACACACTGTAAAGTGAATTGACTGTATATTTGTGGGCGAACGCGGCAGCCAATTGCGCACAGCAATGTCCCACAAACAGTCGTGGATTGAAAATGACCAATTTATTATTGTTTTTGGTTTTGGAGGGAATATTATTAGGCTCTGTGTGGAGTAAGGAAACTTGCCCGAGGTTTCGCCCTCTGCCTGGAATTGAACTCAGGTCTCTCGCTTGCAAAGCGAGTGCTCTAACCACTGAGCTACAGGGCTGTGAAGTGTACTGTTTCAGCGCTCTGGGACACTATCCTGCATGAAGGGCACTTATATAAATGCAAGTTGTTGTTGCTGTGCAGTGAGTGACTTGTGTAGTGACGTTTGCCCCCAACTACTACAACAATTTGCATTTATATAGCACCCTTCATGCACCATAGAGTCTCAGAGCGCTTAACAGTGGTGGAGGCTGATGCCCAGCGGGGGAGAGGTGACTAAACACGGTTGAAGAGGAAGGTCTTCTGACGGAGGGATTGAGGCAAACAGTTGCTGAGTTTTGGGGGGGGGGTTGTGGCCGAAGGCACAGATGGCAATGATGGAATGGAGGGCACAAGGGACAAGCAGGAGGCCGGAGGTAGCAGGTGGTGGAGTGGGGAATAAGCAGGTCGGAGAGGCGGGGAGGTGCCAGAGCGTGAAGGGGTTTGTAGACATGTGTGAGGATCTTGAAGTCGATCCGTTCTGTGATAGGGAGCCAGTGGTGGGGCCTGGCGAGCGCTGGCGGGAAGGGAATATGGAGTTCTGCCGCCGATGCTCCGAATTGTGGCGACGGGGGTGTCCCCGCTTCTGCGTCAGACACCGGGGCTGGCCAAGGGAGAGAATCTTTTCATCAGAAGATGGGGCCGTTCCTCAACTCAAGGAAGATCATTTGCCTGAAGACCTTTAGTTTCGAAAGCCTCACCTACCCTCCCCCTCCCTTCCCAACGTTGGTTGGTAATTCGATCTGGCAAGGCTGTGTCTCAACATGGCTCTTCCACTCCAGTGAGCTTTCAGCTCTCTGCCTCCCCGTCTCCCTCTTAACAGAGAGTACAGTAGAACTACTTATCTTGACTAAAATTATTTTATCTTAAAAAAATTGCAGTATTTTGTGCCCGTCCGTTCAGCCCCCCCACCAACTCCCCCTCCCACCCCCCACCCCACTGCCCAGAAACCCATACAAAAGCCTTTATATTTCTCCCTCTCAGATATTTATCTAATTCCCCCCCATAAACGTTAATACAGACTGAGCCACATGTTCCACACAACCCAACCACCAGTCTCTGGACGCACAGAGTTATCCTAATTGTGACAATTACTCCTGATAACCACCATTTGAAACCCAGCGCTGTCTGCCTCTGGAGGGCATCTCAAAGCATTTCACTGGAATTTTACTGTAAGGTGTAGTCACTGTGTATTTTGTAGCAAATAGTAGTGAATTACTTATTTTAACGGGTGGTTGGGGTGGGGGGGAATTGTCAGCCAACAGTTCCAGGAAAAAATTCCCCTCTCTTTTTGAATAGCGCCGTAGGATCTTTAACATCCATTCATTTCATCCACAAGATACACAGTCACTTTCACTTTACAGTATATCCAGTTTACCAGTAGGATGATGTCTCCAACAATGGAGCGATGCTCTGGGGCGTCAGCCCAGACTGTGAGCTCAAAGTCTCCGACGTAGGGCTTGAACCCACAACCTTCTGACTCAAGGGGCGAGAGCGGACCGACTGAGCCGACCTGACACCTGCAATGACACTAGCCAGTCGGCAAAGGGGCAGAGAGTCACTAGTCCTGAAGCACAACACTGAACAACAGCCCCCCCCCCCCCTCCACCTCTCACGGAGAGAGTCACTTGGTGGGAGGGAGGGAGAGGCCCAATAAAAGGCCAACGTAAAGTGCAAACTGTTTATTCCAGAATAAATACTTAATGAATGATCCCAGCCATATGCAGCATCTCCATTGTGATTACTTTCTGTGCTTTGTTACGCCTAAAGCAGGAAAAGCCATTTAATGTTTCCCGGGTATATAATTACTGGGATTAAAAAGCAGCTGCTAACTTTCAGGGTGGACAATGGAAGCGTTGAGAACCCTGATATCATGAAGCTGGTTGACTTATCCATCAGGTGTGTCAGCGTGGCCCAGACGGGACGGGAGCGCGCTCACCCTCCCAAGTCAGAAAGTTGTGGGTTCGAGCTCCGCACATTGAGCTCCCAAAGTCCAGGCTGACTCTCAAGCACAGTGCTGGGGTGGGGGGGGGGGGGGGGTTGTGGTGATGGAGCACTACATTGTTGGTATGTTCCCAGCCGACCCACTTCACAGCATATATTGTGAAGCGTTTTGAGACGTCTCAAGGGTTATTACTATTATTGTGGCAGTTTGCAGAGCATTGCTGTGTGCAAATTGGCTACAGCCTGTGGTCAGTCTTGGTGTGTAAGGGCACAACTTTAGTGGAGTTAAATAACAATAATATTAATACTGAGCAAAAACCCATGGGACCACTTTTTGGCACAACATTACCAGCTCCCAGGACAGAGGGAATTATGTGGCGAGAGAGAGCGCGAGAGAGAGAGCAGAAGTGGGAGTTAAAAGAAAATGAAGTTTCCCGGGCAAAACAGCTCTCAGGAGAGCAGGGTGACGTTCTGAGAATTTAGCTCCTTCTCTCTTTTTTTAAGAAAAAAGATGGTTTTGCCTTTAATTTCACCTCATTAATAATTCAGGCGAGAGAAAGCGGTGCGCGTCAGTTAGAGGGGGCAAACTGTTTGGCGGTGTCTGTTTGTTCAGTGTTGGTCACAAACTGTTTAAAGGCTTTGTTTTCATTTGGAGAATGTGAAGCCCGGCGATCGAAGGGTGTCCCATAGTAGCCCTCTCCAGTGGAGGTTTTCAACAGCATCCAGACGTGTCCGCAGTTTATCTCCGAGGAGCCCATTAACCCTTTGGGAGCTGGTTGAGGGGGAGGCGGTGTTAATCGTTCACTTTGTCGCTGCTCGGGACATTTGCTGTGTGCAAATTGGTTACTGCATTGCCTCTGTACATGTGCGCGTGTTTCTCTTTGAGAGAGGGAGGGAGGGGGAAGAGCGATGCCGCCCCCCCCACCCCCCATGAAGGGTGCTATGTAAATGCAAGTTGTTGCAGGAGGGAGAGACTGGCAGCTACCTTTTGTCATGGTTAACAATTCCAGGGCAGGCAGGAAGTCAGCAAGGACCCAGTAAGAGCCTTTTTTTATTGTTAATTAGAGGCTTTCACACACAGAAAGAAGTCCGCAAGCTTTTCTGGTGGTCAAACAGAGGACTTTTCCGTGTCAATAGTTGTGGTTGCATTCTGCGGAGAGAGAGGGAGAGAGAGAGAGAGAGAGAGAGAGAACAAGCTGGTGGTACACACACTGACCTCAGCTGTGTCTCCAATGTATTTAGTTCAGTGTTAGCAAATACTGGGACAATGCCTAGTCTCGTAAGATCAGGACGGTGGCAGCAACACAGCGGGCTGGTGCTCACAGGTAAGTATGTGTGCGTGTGTATATGTGTGTGTGGGGGGGCGGGCGGGCGGGGGGGGTTATTAACTCTATTGGAACCCACATTTATTGATGTTAAGGTGTAATTGCTAGACGCAATCTGGTGTTTGGCAGAGATGTGTTGGTCCTTGTAGTGCCCTGGGTATCATTTGCAAGGGTAAAATATCGTCTTGATTATTAAAAGGCGTTGATATCTGCAGGGTCTTCGGGGAGAATGGGGAGACCGCATTCTCACACCAGGCAGAAGACGACCGCAGCCAAAATCGCCGTGATTCTTACGAGGGAAGCAGTTGATCTGGGAGGGGGTGAGTGGGGGATTCAGCAAAAAGCAAATCCAGTGGGAAAAAATTAGCTGCTGCTTCTGTATTTTTTTTTGTGTGTGTATATATATATATATATATGCGTCCAGTTGTACGCAGCCAAGAAGAGGCACTTTACTGTACTGCATCGCTTTGCAGAGCAGGGGTGACCTTGCCGAGAGAGCTGGAGAGGGGATGCTGAGTGTGCTGTAATACTTGAATACCAAGCAGCCAAGGGACCCTCTTGATAAACAGACCACAGGTCAACTGCAATCCATACCACATCTGACAATCCTCCCACCACCCCCCAACCCACCTGGTGTGTAATTGTAACATGATTTAAATTCAATTTTATTCTATAATAGGAGGAAATTATGGAGTTGTGTGTGTGCATGTGGGTGGTGAGGGAGAATCGGAAGAGGACATTCCACCTGGATCTAGATTTACTCTATGAACTTAACGGTTTTAAGCGTCCAGAATTTGGCAAATTGCTGGATTGAGTTTTATTGCATGGTGGTGGTGAGTGAGGGGAGGTGAGAGGGAGAAAGAAAAACACAGATTCAAAGTTAAGAGGTTGAACTCTGGAATTCTGGAATTTGATTAATTCAGTAATTTGACGGATTCAGGAAATTTCCCAATTCTGGATGCTCTTAGACGCTGCATCGAGTGGAGTAGTCTAGGGCTGGGTGGGATTTCTCCTCGGGACTGAGGTCCTCTAGGGACCACAGCTGTCTTTCCCAGTAAAGAGCAAACTTCTACCAATGCAGGTCAATGCTTACTTAGCATTTATGTCCCTTTCGCTACAGATCAATGAGGTGGTGTAAATGAAGCCGGCATTAATTAGATTGAGCGGAGCACGGTTCATCTCTGGACAGGGGCAATCACTTTAAATGATTAAATAATGTAAGCCCAGGTCAGAGCCAGGGACATGTTATTTCCATTTGATAAGGTGCTGTTAAAAGTGGTTGAAAAACCACTGACAATCTTAACTCATGCAGGATGGGAATGACAGACTGACAACCCATGTCTGTTGCCCGACTCAGTTTATAGCAGTCTCACCGCTTGAGTCAGAAGGTTGTGGGTTCCAGGCCCCCAAGTCAGGACTTTGAACTCGCATCGTCTAAGATGATGCTCTGATAAGAGTTTTTGGGGGAAGGGGGAAGAGTGCTGCACTGTCAGAGGTTAAACTGAGCAGATGAGATGTTAAACCGAGGTCCCGTCTGTGCCCTGTTCAGATGGACGTTGAAGATCCCACTTATAATAATAATCCTTGTATTTGATAAAGCATCTTTCACGTCAAGACGTCCCAAAGCTACAAGATACACAGTCACTCCACTCTACAGGGCATCCTGCGAAGCGCTTTGAGGCATCTCGCAGACGCAATACAGTGGAGTCCTGTAGCTCAGTGGTTAGACCACTCGCTTTGCAAGTGAGAGACCTGAGTTCAATTCCAGGCAGAGGGCGAAACCTTGGGCAAGTTTCCTTACTCCACACAGAGCCTAATAATAATCCCTCCAAAACCCCAAACAATAATAAATTGGTCATTTTCAATCTACGACTGTTTGTGGGACATTGCTGTGCGCAATTGGCTGCCGCGTTCGCCCACAAACATACAGTCAATTCACGTTACAGTCTATTCTGTGAAGCGCTTTGGGACGTCCTCCCGACGTGAAAAGCGCTATATCAAATGCAAGGATTATTATTATTATTATTATTATTATTATAAAGCACTTCACAGGGTAAACTATAAAGTGGATTGACTGTGTATTTTGTGAGCGAATTGCAGGAGCCAATTGTGTACAGCAATGTCCCACAAACAGCCATGGAGTGAGTGACCATTATCTCGGGGGTTTGGCCAGGACACCGGGAGAATCCCTCTTCTCTCTTTGAATAGTGCCATGAAATCCTTAACATTCAACTGAACAGGCAGACAGGATCTTGCTTTAATCGCTAATCCGAAGGACGGCGCCTGACAACAAACCCCAACCCCACCCCATCACTGCATTGGAGTGTCATCTTAGATAATGTGATTCCAAGCGCCGACGTGAGGCTTGAACTCCCAAACCTTCTGACTCAGAAGCAAGAGCGCTACCATTGCCCCAGCCTGACATGAGGGAGCGTTTCTTTCCCTGTGTCCTGGCCAACAATCCCCGAGATAAAATCGGTCATTCATCTCATGACTCCTTGTGTGGATGTTGGAAATGTGTAAATTGGCCACATTTGCCTACAAAATCCACAGCCACTGCACTTTACAGTAAATCCTGTGAATCGCTTTGAGACGTGTGTCCTGGATCCATTCACATCTTCACGACTGAGGTGGATAGATATTTGTTAGGTCATGGTATTAAGGGATCAGGGGCATGGGCAGGTATTTAGACTTGAGGTACAGATCAGCCATGATCTTACAGAATGGCAGAACAGGGTCAAGGGCTGAATAGCCGACTCCTGTTTCTACGTTTCCAATGTGAAAGGCCTGTGTCAAATGGAAGGATTATAATGATTCATTACATTTAAATTGCTGCAGAATGGCTTCACTCAATCACTACAGATGAGTGGAATTTATTTTATTAATAAACCTTCTGCACACAAGTGGCAGTTATTGCCCACCTCCTGTACCTTGCCCTCCCCCCTTCCCCGCCGGGTGAAAACTGTGGGCAAGTTGTTTCTTGCTGACGTGCAAGCCATGTGGGTAAAGCTGCAGTAGCAGGCGCATTGCTGCACAGAGCCATAAACTAGCTGCATTTCATCTCATTTCCACCCTTGTCAGCACTGCGTCGGCAAGGAAATCAATGTCCCTTAAAGCAAAGTCAAGCCAAGCTTCATCTACAGAAAACACAGTCGCTGCACTTTGCATCAAACCCTGTTTCGCGACACCCTCCTGACTGCAAAAAGCGTTACATCAGACGTGAGGAGTATTATTATTGTTGTTGTCACAGTCATGGAGAATCCCAGCCGGTCATAAGCAAAATGTGTTTATTTCTCTGCTACAGTATTATCCAAAAATGTAAAATTCAATACAATGGGGATAAATATAACACTGCATGGTATAGTCAATTCACTTTACAATATATTCAATGAAGCCTTTAAGATGTCTCAAAGGTGTGATAAGGCTTAAGAGTGATGTGTATAAATGCAAATTGTTCTTGTGATTGTCAAACCCCCCCCCATTATTTTAGCCTAGAAATAATCAATTCATGAGAATCTTTTTAAAAGTTCAACCACTGTCCAGACTTTGCTTTCTTCACGCTGAAGGTTGTAATAAATAAACGGTAACAGAACAGTAATTCCTTTGAATTTATAAAAAAAGTATCGACTGTGTATTTTGTGGGTGAACACAGCAGCCAATTTGCAGACAGCGACATCCTGTGAAGGGAATGACTGATGTTTATGGGTCGTAAATTAGTAATTATACAGTATTCCTCATGTAGGGAAATGACTGAGAGCTATAGAGATGGAATGAGAGTCTGAGCAAGGGAGGGAGATAGTGCAGGGGGGAAAGAAAGCGAGCAGTAGTTAATGTTTGAATGCTCAATAACTGAGACATCTCTAACGTCACTTCTCTCGTTGCAGGTTAAGATGCTTTTGGATTGGCAGAAAGCACTTCCGATGCCATTTGGAAAGGTTCCTGTGAAACCAAGAACAGAGGCAAAACCGTATTTAAAAAGACAATTTTACAATTGAAGAGGGAGCAGGGTTTGAAAAAAAAAGAGAGAGAGATCACAGCTCGGACAAGACTGCATGAACAAGCAGACGAGGGAGCAGGGATTTGTTTTTTAAAAAAAAGCGAAGAGAAAAAACAGAACAAGGAGCTCGAGTCCGCAGGAACTTTGCAGGGGTAGGGATGGCGGACGTAACGGGGCTAAAGGACGCCTCTAGCAGGCAACTGCGGTCGAAGCTCACCCTTCTCAGCCGACGCATCGATGAATTGGAGGAGACCACTAAGAGCCTGCACAGGACGAAGACGAACTTATGGACATCCAGGACAAAATCATGCAGGCCGAGGGCAGCAACTGCAGCTTGCTGGCCGAGGTGGACACCCTGCGGAAGAGGATGCTGACCATCGAGGGGAAGGACGAGGAGATCAGGAAGGCTGAGGGAATGTGCAGGAACCTGAAGGAAAAGTTGGAGGCGGAGGTGAAACTGAGCAAGGATCTGAAGAGGAAGATCGAGAAGCTGCAGGACAGGATGAGCGAACTGGAGCGCTTGGAAGAGGCGTTTAACAGGAGCAAGTCGGACTGCACCCAGCTGTGCCTGAGCTTGAACGAGGAGAAGAACCTGACGAGGAAGCTGACCACGGAGTTGGAGGCGCTTCGGGCGAGGGTGTACGAGCTGGAGGCCTCGGAGGGCCGGCTGGACAGGTCGGAGAGGGACATCATCGAGGAGCTGGAGAAGCTGAAGTCGCTGGCCGTGGTCTTGGCGGACGAGGGGGGGAGGACCGCGGGCGACAAGCTGAGGCGGAACGAAGAAGACACCGAGGAGCTGACGGGGAAAGTGGAGCCGAACAACCGGCTGCCCGCCGCGGACCAGAGCAAGAACTCGTCGAACCTCAGGGCCAACGCCAACGAGAGGACCGGCAACTACACGGGAGACCTGCGGATCGAGGAGGCCGTCTCCTCCGGCCCGGCCAAGAGGGGCTACAACCCGCCGAGGCCGACGCCGCCGGGCGGCCACGGCCCGAGGAACAAGGCCTTCCCGGAGGGCCAGGAGGAGGACAACAAGGTGAAGGACCTCACGCAGGAGGTCGAGAAGCTGAAGAAGCGCCTGAAGCTGCTGGAGACGGTGGAGGGCGACCTGAGGAGGACCCGAGGCGACTACAACGAGCTCCAGGAGAGGTTCCTGAGCGAGCAGAGCCGAGCCAAGGCCTTGGCCGAGCAGGTGGACGAGCTCAGGCTCCAGGCGGCCAGAGGGCGGGGCCCGGGCCTGGAGAACGGCGAGCCCGGCTGCCAGGAGGCCCGAGACGGCAGGGCAAGACCGGAGAGGCCCAGGAGCCGAGGCCTACCCGCGGAGCGGGAGCGGGCGAGGAACCGGGACCTGCTGCAGCTGGAGGAGGACGGCGGGTCCAGGAGCTACCGCCGGCCGCTCAGCCCGAGCGCCGGCCGCAGGCCGCACAGGGCCTCGTCCAACCCCAGGGCCCCCGAGGAGGAGAAGCCGGGGGGAGGCGGCAGAGGCCCGGGCTCCGGGCCCAGGGACCAGGAGAGGCTGAAGAAGCCGCGGGAGCAGCCCTCGGTGCTCAGCCGCTACCCGCCGGCGGCCAACGAACCCGGCCCCGGCGTCAAGCGGCCCTGGGGCTCCCAGGCCAAGCCCAGCGACCCCGGCCTCAAGTACAAGCCGGAGCCGCTCCCGCCGCCGCCGCCCACGGTGGCTGCCGAGCGCCCGAAGAGGCCGCCCGCCTCCTCCTGGGTCAACAGCTACTCCCAGCCCGAGCCCGGCGGCCCAAGCAAAGCCTCGGACTCGGGGGAGGAATGGCCGGCGGCCCCGCGGCTCCTGAACGGCTCGGCGGCCCCTCACACCCAGTCGAGCTCCCGCTACAGGAGGCAGCGGCCGGCCTCCCCCAGCGAGCAGCCCGCCGACTCGGGCTGGGCTGAGGCCGAGGATGAGGAGCTTTCGTCGGCCAAGAAGGTGGTGGAGGAGGAGGAGCCGGAGCCGCCGCCGAGCCTGGGGCCCGCGAGGCCTCGCTACTCGCGTAGAGACCGCCGCGAGGCCAGTCACGAATTCCGGGCCGTGAGGTGCTACGCGGAGGACGACGACGAGCCGCCGCCATCGCCGCCGCCGCCGCCGCCGCACGAGTCGTCCGTCCTCCAGGCGGAGCGGGTGGTGACGGCCGCGGCCGAAGACGAAGAGGAGGTGGAGGAGGAGGTGGTGGTGGTGGTGGTCGAGGCCGAGGTGATGGCGGCGGAGGAGGAGGAGGAGGAGGCCGTCGTGTCCGCTGAATGGCGGCCCTTCTCCCCGGGCTCGGGCTCCGGCCCGGCGCTGAGGAGAGTGTGCAGCCCGCGGGAGAGCCTGCGCTCCAGGGCCGTCATCCAACCCGCCATCGTGGCGATCGACAAGAAGCGGATGATGACGACGACGGCGGCGGTGGCTGCCTCGGCGGTGGTTGGGCCCGAACCCGAGCCCGGGCTTGGATTTGGGCTCAGGCGGCCCGCCGAGAGGTCGGAGCGGGAGGGCGGCCGCTCGGCCCGGAGAGCCATCGTGACCAGCAGCATCTGCATCCCGCCGGCCGAGTTGCCCCGCCCGCGGGGGGTCAGGGAGACGCACACGTCGACCGGCCGCATCACCATCGCCCCGCCGGCGGGGACGTCGGCGGCGGCGGCCGCGCCCGAGGCCCGAGGCCCCCCCGGCGGCGGCGGCCTCCACATGGAGTACGAGATCTCCATCCCCCGCAGCGACATCACCATGAAGCCGCCGGACTCGGACAGCGACGACGAGGGGACGGAGGAGGAGGAGGAGGACGACGACGAGGACGAGGGGGAGGAAGAGGAGCAAATGGCGGCCGAGGTCGAGTCGCGGCCTGAGGCCTCGGTGAGCAGGTCGTCCGCCGCCGCCGCCGATGATGGTGGCGGTAACGGCGGCTGGAGGAGCCGGCGGAGCGCGCTGCCCGACCCCGACTGGAGGAGCCCGGGCCTCGCCGCCGCCGCCGAACTCGACCGCCCCGCCTGGAGGAGCGGCCGGGCCGCGGGCGAGGCGAAACCCGAGGCCGCTCTGGATTTCTCCAGGGTCACGGCCCGGAGAGCCGCCCACCGGCCGCTGACCTCCTCCTACATCTCCTGCCCGGCCTCAGACGGCCCAGAGCCCGGCCCAGGCCCCGGCCCCGGCTTCGGCGGCCTCTCCTCCCGGCGGCTCAATAACTTTGCGGGGCCCGAAGACGCTGTGGTGTCGCGGCTCCACGCCCCGGACTCCGGGGGCCGCAGGAATCAGAGAGCCACTGTGGCGGCCAAAGTGGCGGATTACAACAACAGCTGCTCCTCGGTAACTAATGCCGTTAATTACACAGGAGCGTCTCTGTCTGCACTCCCTCACCCCCCCACCCCCCAACCCACCCCCCACAGCCCCCACACACACACACACCCCCCCCCCCCACACGCACACCCACAACCCCCCCCCACACACTCCCTCACCCCCCCCCACACACACACACACCCTCACCCCACACCCACAACCCCAGACACACTCCCTCACCCCCCCCACAACACCCACCCCCCACACACACACACCCTCACACACACAACTACACCCCCTCACACACACAACTACACCCCCTCACACACACACACGCACCCCCACCCCCTCACACACACACCCACACACACACACCCCCACACACACTCAACTACACACACACACACCCACACCCACACACACACACACACACTCACACACACAACTACACCCCCTCACTCACACACACAACTACACACACACACCCTCACAATTACACCCCCCCCCTCACGCACACAACTACACACAACCCCTCTCACACACACCCTCACACACAACAACACACACACACCCTCACAAACACCGCCCCCCCCGCACCCACCCACAACCACACCCCCACACACAACTACACACCCCCCTCACACACACACCCCTCACACACACACACAACCACACCCCCACCCCTCACACACAACCACACACACACCCCTCACATACAGACACCCCCTCACACACACACACACAACCACACCCCCCCCTCACACACACACACAACCACACCCCCCCTCATACACACACAAGCACACACCCCCCACACACAAGCACACACTCTCACACACACACAACCACCCCCCCCACACACAACACCCCCCCCCACGCACACACCCCCCCACACACAAACACCCCACACACCCCACACACACCCCCCCCCCCCCGACACACACACAACAACAACAACATTACAGTTGTATAGCGTCTTTCGCGTCGGGAGGACTTCCCAAGGCACTGGACGTTTCAGTGTTCCGGCCCCGAGCTGGGGGGTTGGGGGGGGGAGGGGGGGAGTTTATAATAATAATAATAACAATCCTTGCATTTGATATAGTGCTTTTCACGTCTTCGAGACGTCTCAAAGCGCTTCACAGAATAGACTGTAAAATGAATTGACCGTATATTTGGGGGTGAAACACGGCAGCCGACTGCGCACAGCGGCGTCCCACAAACAGTCGTGGATTGAAAGTTTGGAGGGCACCTTCACTGGTGGGGGAAGCGGAGATTGAAAGCACCCTCGAAGAGTGGGGGGGTGGGGGCGCGTGCGGTTCTTGAGAAGGGGGCGAGGCGGGGGTGGGGAAGGACCCGCGAGGTGGAGTTTCCATTGTGGCCTCACAGTCCACTCGTACTGAGGGACCAGGGCTTCCAACACCCCTCCTCATCCCCCCGCCCGGGACATCCTCCAGAGGATAGGCTTCAAAACCCTCGTCCTCGCATCATTCACGGCTTTGCTCCACTCTGCCTCTGCGACCTGCTAACTCCATACCGATCTCTCCGTTGGGCAGACTCTGGCCGGCGCCATTCTCCCACCCCCTTCGCCCCCCCCCCCCCCCCCCCCACTCGCCCCACTATCGCATTCTGCCCCCCGTCCTTTGGAACTCCATCCCACAGTCCCATTCCCTCGACCCCCTCCCTTACCTAATTCAAGGTCCATCTCAAGACCTTGCTCTATGACTGGCCCAACTTGTCCCGGTGACGTAAATCATCCCGTTATCAATATCCAACAAGGGACGCATTTATTGATGTATTGATACATCTCGTCACTCTGGATCACTCGGAACTGAGCCCTCGCCCTTGGAGTGACGGGTTATCAGGAGTTCACTGTATCTCCCTTCCCTTTCTTTGTTGTGAACGTATCTTGCTTTGTTACTTTGGTGAATAACACTTGGTGAATCCAGTTTGGGGCTCTGCTCAGACTTGCATCCCTTATAATTTGCCCTTTTGGCGCTGCTCCGCAGCCGCCCCACTTGAAGGATGACCTTAATAGGCATCAGCGTCAGCATTCACGTCCCATTCTCGATCTGCCATCATTCGAAAAGAACGTGTTTCGGATTAGTCAGCCCGACTAAAGCGAGTCGTTTCGGTGGGGGGGGGGGTGGGGGGGGGAAATCTACATCACACTTGGGGGAGAGCGACAGCTCGGCCGAGCAGAGCTGGCAAAAGAAATGGGAGAGGAAACACACGTGACCTTTTGCGTCCGTTGTGCAATAGACGTGAACATTAGCCGGGAATGTGAAGGTTCATTTCACCAGCGCTGCGGTCAGAAGACAGGAATGTATTTCTGTTTTTTTTTTAAGGGAAAGAAAATGTTTTATTTATAGAATTTCTTTTTAAAAGAAAAGAAAGCAGGTTGCAACATATTAGCTCTTTGATGATAAAATAGTTTAAAGTAATTTGCAAAGTTAATTAACATTTCTTCCCTTAGCCAATTTTTCTCCCTCCTTGATCTCACCCCCCCCCCCCCCCATTTCCTTCAGGGGATCAGTTCCAAATGCATTCAATATAGAGTAGCGCCTCATTAAGATGCCTCAAAGCGCTTCACCGTTACTACCGTAAAGTGGAGTGACTGTGTCCCTCCACAAACATCCCGCAAACAGCCAGGAAAAAATGAGCAAGCGATTTTATTTGGGGGATTTTTGGTCAGGATTAGCTCTGTAACCACATTCGCTGCATTTCGTTTAAAAAATCTACTTTGTGAGCAAAACAAAAAGCAAAACTTTGATTTTTGTGCTTAAAGGCGCCGGGAAAAATCTAAGCGATTGTCATGACGAATTCACAAAATCCATCGTTGGCATTCGTTGGCACCTCAGCCATTTCAAAACAAACCGCTTCAATGCATTTTTTACTTGCAATTTTTTGGGGCAAAATTTGATGTGATAAGCATCTGAATGCCCAAGGAATGTTTTGTGTGTTTTTGTGTGGTTGCTTCTCATACCTTGTGCTAAAACCTTCTTTGTCCAGACAGGGCAAGACAGTTCAGACATGTACTCCATACACAACGCCAACATATTGTTGAAGAAGAAGGAATTGGCAAAGCAATACTTGTCGGATATCAGCATCGAGAGGCTGGCGAGGAACGAGACTGCGGGCAAGAGGCAATCTGTGAAAGTTGAACTGAAAAAAAATGCACTCGGCAGCCCCGTGCACCAGCCCGGCACCAAGTCTGAAGACAAGACACCAATAGTACGGACACAAATCAACTACAACAACAGCTTGCATTGATATAGTGCCTCTCACACAGAGCGCAAATCGGTCGCTCGCTTCCCGCGCGCTTGCGGGGATGTCCCTGTGCACAGATTGGCTGAGCCACGCTCCTCACCCACAAGATACACGGTCACTCCATTTCACAGTGTATCCTGCAAAGCGCTTTGAGACGTCCTCTTGACGTGAAAGGCCCCGCATCACAACAATAATAATCTGTGCATTTGGTACAGCCGTTTTCAGGTCGGGAGGATTCCCCCAAAAAAGTGCTTCACCTGGTTTTGTTGTAAAGTGGAGCGACCGTGTTTTGTGGGGTGAACTTGGCAAACAGTTTGCATGCGCGTTGAACTTCCCCGAAACAACCTTGAAGCGAACAATCCATTTTACTCTGGATTATGTCAAAAGTAAGATTATTATTATCATCATCATCACAAACATCCAACCTGGAAATAATAACAATATTTGTTTTCTCTCTGTTTTGTTTAGGGTATTCTCTCGCAAATAAGGATGACTTCCAGACGGTGAGGCCCTGGCTGGTTTATCTTGAAAGCAGCACTCCAAATCATCGTGTTAATAAGGCACTGCGCAAGCTTCTGCATTATAGGGGATCATTTTTCATCTTGTACATGATATGAACTAAAGCAATCACGCGACATGTATATTTTTCTAGAGGTTGATTGTGTTTTGGGGAGGAGGACCCAGCCAGCGGTTTGCAATCGACTCAACGAAAGAGGCAGCTGCAAACTCCACACTCAGGGGGTAGGAGAGACACCATTCGTTGCCAAAGCCAGGACAGACTGAGCGGAGGTTGGGCGAGGAGTTGGGGGGTGCAGGAGGTGGGGGGAGGGTGGGGGGGGCACGGGGAGGAAAGAGAGTGAGAGACGCAAAACAATCCCCAGAATCCGGGAGCATCGAGAAAGCATCGTTTTGGAGCGAGAGAGAGAATATGAGAAATCCAAGCATAATTTAGCACAAGATGGAGCGTTTGAAGCCATTTCACTGTTGCGGCAGAAGATTTCGGAGGTGGAGGTGGCAGAAATGTAAATACTTGATTTTATAGATTGGAGGGGGTGGGGTGGGGTGGAACTATTTCGCAACCTCTCTTTGAAATGAAAGCGGGGGGGAGGAATTGAGTATTAATTATCCCAGAGTAGGAAACCGTTTGTGTATATAATTTTTTTTATTTGTACTTGGTGAAAGGTTTCTTTTTTTTTAAAAAAGAAGAGAGAAAAAAAGTATTTTTAAAGAAAAAGGAAAAAAGGGGGGTTGTGTCATGTGCTGGAATCCCAAACTGTTAGGGACTTTACGCTCAGTAACGTGCAGACATCGGAAAAGGGACACTAACGATTTCTTCTCGATTCTAAAACCAATAGCAAGCGCAATTTCCTCTAAAGTCGTAGAATCCTACAGGACAGAAGGAGGCCATTTGGCCCATCGTGCCGGTGCCAGCTCTTTAAAAGAGCTATCCAATTAGACCCACTCCCCCATAGGCTCGCAAGTTCTTTTCTTTACAAGTATCCATCCAAATCCCGTGACTCTTGCTTTCGTAGCATTTTAGAAGGCCCAGGATTTCGGCAAGTCATTGAACTCGGGCTCAACTTCGAAGCTGCTTTTCTCTTCGAGTTTCTTTTGAAAGTTACAAGAAGAAGAAATAAAGGCTTTGAAGTTCAACAACAACTTGCATTTATATAGCACCCTTCTCGGAGGGGGCGGGGGGGTAGCATCTCAGAGTGCTTCGGGCCATGTTTACGAATTTGCCAAATTCTGTACGCTCTAAAATGCAACCCATTAAATCTAGAGCCAGCTGTAATTCTCTCCCCCACCCCTTTCTCCCTGCTCTCCCGCTCATAATAACTACCTACATTTGAGCTAAGGTCAGAGCAACACTGCTCATTGTAAGGAGTTCCTTTGTGTTCATTGTTCCTCTCAAGTGAAGATAATTGATTGATCTTCAGCTTTTTCCAACCTTTTCCCCTCTTGCGTCCCGCCTTTAAACATTCCACTTGAGCAGAAGCAGTAACGCTTCTCACCTTCATTCCACTATGATAAAGAAAAATTAAGAGGAAATGGTCTTGAGGCTAAGAATGGCTGAAGGAATTTCGGGTCTCGGGTGCAAATCCTGGTTTTGTCTGGCGTAAGCAGAATTTGAGCCAGGATACAGATGGGATCCCAATAAATTTATGGAAAATAGGAATATACAGGACAGGGGAAAGGATGATTCTTCTTCTGGCTGGTCCCAGACATCACTTTTAAAGTGTAATTTCGCCCCGTCCCCAATTAAAAAAACAATGCTGCATATGATTGCCAAAAACTGAGGGGAATTTAGCAGAACCACTATGCATTGGTGTCATTCACAGTGTTAACCTTCCAGGCCCATGTGACAATGGGTCTCTCTTAGCCAAGCTTGATTATTCAGAGGGAAAGAGAAGGAACAGGGAGTTAGTTAGCATTTGCAGTATACAACACTTTAACCAAGGAGGATTGTAGACGTGTCAGTGTCAAAGGTTTCACAATATCGTTGCGCTGTCCAGATTCAGGACTTTCCATGTGTAAAGTTAGCACAAAATGTCAAGTGTCATATTTTTGTGACTTCAGATAAGACACTCAAGTCTTTCACTGCTCATCACTACTCACCATCCACTGGAAACTATACGGGCTGGAAATACACCTTAGAGTTGTAACACTTCCCTTTCCCCCCACCCATGACAACATATACAGGCAAGGGGTCTATTTCCACATATAAGCAGATGAGCCCGACTCCTACCTCTGAATTCACCCTCAACTCCAAACCACTCATGTGCATAGAGACAGTGCCTTCAGTTGTCGATTCAGGAAGAAATCCAGTTATAATACCCTGACATCAAATAAGATTTAAAAAGCCAGTCTCCTTAAATGAGGTTAAGTTCCTGTTTTTACCAGCTGCACCAATGTCTGATCTAATCACTCGCCCATTGAGTGGCGGGCAACATAGCTTCTCCCACTCAGTGTCCAGTGATATCCCCTCTCCTCCCCTAACCATTAATTACAGCGACCAATGCAACTTTACACTTGTCTTTATACATATATAAATATATATAAATGTGCAATATACAGTATATCTCATCTGAAAAGGCAGGGAAATGGGATTCCAAATGCAAACATGGTCTAATAAAATAGGTAGGGGGTCAGGCTTAGTGGGTTGAATGATCTCCTATGGATTATCAAAATTGCCAAAACACAAACCAGAAAAGAGAAAAACGAGAAAGCAAAAGCCTCTCTTTTTCTATCTCCGTGAATTTCAACTTGGAAAACGTATCAGAATTCAACCTTCACGACACAGCCTTTATATCTTCCAGCATTGTGAACAAGAAGGCTCCAAAAGTATTTTACATCGACGCAGGAAAAGGCGTCTGGCGTCTAATCCAGATGTCTTTATTGCGTTGTGCCATAAGCACAGACGTGGTGTACAAGACTGCTTCAGAGAATGGTGTTGTGTTAAATAGCAGGTGTATCAATTTAGAGCACTACAGGCCATTCGGGCCAACTAGTCCATGCCAGTATTTACACTCCACATCAGCCACCACCTTGCTTATTCTGTTCTATTCCCTTCTCCTCCTGTGTTGATCTTCAGAGGATCCTCAGTTGATCTTTGCTATTCCCGTGAGAGCTCAACACACAGGAATGTTCACCGTTACCTATTATTGGAGGCTTGAGTAAATGGTCAATGTGACTTTCGTTCCCGAACAGATATCTCATTGGTTATATTTGCGGCATTCCTTAATGTGGTCAGAACTCCCTTTGAGCCTGCAGGAACTCCACTTGGGAGTTAAGATTGCATTTGGAACATATTGTGTAATTTCTAGGAAGATGTTTCATTAAGAAATACCACAGAATAGAATCCGTACCATAAACAAGCTAATGACGGGCTAACAACGATCCACATAAAGCCCAAAGAGAAGCAAAAGAACGAGTGAACGGTGTGAGATGGGGGTTCTTTGGCAATCTGCCAATAAAGGGTCATTTTACCTGGCGCCTGGCAAAACTTATTGGGGGGGGGGGGGGCTGTATTTTGTTAAATGTTCTGAAATGTGATGCACAATGCAGGTCATCGAGTCATAAATCACTGGTGCATTATATGTGGAATCTCCGCAACCCATTCACAGCGTTTCCAAGCCCACGACACACGCTCAAGGAATGCTCAACGCCCGGTAGAGCAAAAGATTGTACACTCGTTCTCTCCTGGGAATCACCCACCATTCTTGCAGCCGAAAAGATGTTCTATCTTGATAATTATGATATTGAATAGCATTACAGCCTTAACTCACACTGTATGCCAGCGAGAGAGACACACACACACACACAAACCCTCACACACATATCAACGCTGGTACTTGAGAATTGCGTAGAAACCACACGAGCCGTAAATAGTTTGATGTAAAAGATTCTTTTTTATATATATATATATATAAACAGGAATTTTAATAGTTAAAAAAGACAATAAACGTGTAACATAAGATGTGTAAGAAAACTAGATTTAATAGCATTATTTATTTGGGTAAAAGGCATCCTATCTATTTTACAATGGCTTGCAATATCACAGTACCAGCCCATTCCTGCAACTGCACAAAGTATTGAGAAACAGGAAGCAGCTGTCACTCACTCACAGTGTCTAACTGCATGTTTACCTGGTCCTCTCCTCTTCGGGAGTTTTTTTTTGCATGTATATTTCTCCGGATTTCAAACTCTCCACTGTACAATAAAAAAATTATATTACTCCTAAATGACCCGTTACCATGCTGTCTTTGCAAATCCCAGCACTCTACCGCACTGTACCGTAAAAGGAGAGGTTCGGAAGAGTTCCCAGAGCGTTGCCAATTCCATAAACGGAATTTAGATTTATACAGCGCCTTTCGAGTCGGGAGGACATCTCAAAGCGCTCGACAATGCCAGCCGGACATCAGGGAAGAGTGGCTGTAGAACAGTCAATGACTTACAACCTGACATAAGAACATAAAAACATAATGCTAGACGAAAAGATCCATCTAGCTCGCTTTCCATCATCCTGGCGGTCGCATACATACGTCCCAAACTACCTATGTACGATATCCCATAATGTTGGTCCTTAGTGGGAGGACTTTGCAGCATTCAGCTTATCTGAATGGCCATCTGACCACCCCCTCCACCACTGTGCTAGAATATTAGACAAGATTGTGAGCAAATGTACCCAACATCAGGCTTTAACACGCAACATCCTGAACCCGGAGACGAGAGTGCGGGCGACTGAGCTAAACTCATGCCCCAAATTGCGTTTTGGGCCAAAACGGATTTGCATCCACAGCTGGGCAAACGTGGTTGGAATTCTCAGCCGTCTTCCAGTCTACAATTAAAGTTCCAGACGTGTGCTTGGATGGAGATCAGTCCAGAAGGACCACCTTGGTTTGTGGGCTAAAAACCACATGAAAAAAGAGCAGCTGTGAGAGAGAGAGAGAGATGGAGATGAATCAGCAGAACAATGGAGACTCAAAACTTTATCAGAAACCCTTTGCATTCCGCTTCATAGAAGATGCAATGCAATTACAAAGCGCCTGTCACGTCACGCCCTCCATCCCCTTCTCCCTCATTACAAGCACAAAATTCATAGAAGATGCAATGCAATTACAAAGCGCCTGTCACGTCACGCCCTCCATCCCCTTCTCCCTCATTACAAGCACAAAATTCTTGAATTGTTTTTTGTGTCTCAAGCCGTAAGATTTTCATGAAAACGAAAACAGACGTC